TTCGACCCGGCAAATCTCCGCCCGAAACCAACACTGTTGAATCCAAATTCCGTTTTGGAGGAGAAAAGAACATTGACGTCATTGCAAACGAAAGAAACAAAAATTAATCAATTATAATCGAGAAAAAAAAATCTTTCTTTATTTTAACGTCAAGCCAAGTCGAATTCCTATTTAAAAAAAATTTTTTAAATAATTTTCTAATACATATAATTCGATAATAAAATCTGTAAATTAAAATGAATTAATAAAATAATACAATTTCAAATAATAGTTACGACTATATTTCGTCGTTATATAAGGATCATTATCCGAACAAAATATTTATCTAAAATAATTTTGACAAACATTTACATATAAAAAAAAATGTTGTCAAACAATTGATCTCGTTAACGAGACTTCAAATATTCTGACTCGAGACAAGATCACAAAATAATTTTAGTTATTTGAACAATCAGCTGTTCATTATTGTTAATTATTAAAGAAAAAAAATCAATATTTTTAAGTCAAAATTTTCTTTAGACAACTGATTAGTTCAAAAAAAAATTTTATGACAGCTGAGCAAGATCATACCGTCAGGCAATAAAAAAATAAGTTTCTTTAATGTTTAAAAAAAATTTGTACTTAGCAAAATTACCAATGACAAGAGCAAGATCTTGAATCATCAGCACTTATACAAAATAATCTTTATAAACGATCAAATATTTTGTTGACAAGAGCAAGATCTTATATCAACAAAACTGAAAAAAATTTTCAATAAATAAATTTTACTTTGCACAAAAACCCAACAGCAGAGCAAGATCTAGCTGTCAAAACAAAAACTTTTATGCAAAATAAGCAATAATAAAGACAAAAAAAATTCAATTTCTATTTGAAAAAAGCAAAAAAAAATCAACTTTTTATGACAAGAACAAGATCTTGAATCACAAAAAAAACACAAATTACTCTTTATAACAAGAGCAACAAAAATTTTGACAGCAAGAGCAAGATCCTGAACTGTCAAAACTAAAATTAATACAAAAACTCAAAATCGTTGCGAACATGCATCGAGCCATCGTCAACATAACAACAGTCTTGTATTAACACAGCAAAGTTCTCATTGTCAAAATGTAAAGTAAAAAACAAAATCTCGACAACAAGAACAACAAAATTTTTGACAACAAGAGCAAGATCTTGAATTATCAAAACAAAAATTAATGCAAAAACTCAAAATTGTTGCGAACATGCATCGAGCCATCGTCAACATAACCAATGTTCTGCATTAACACAAACAAAGGTCTTATTGTCAAAATACAAAGCAACAAAAATTTTGACAACAAGAGCAAGATCTTGGATTATCAAAAATAAAATTTAATGCAAAAACTCAAAATCGTTGCGAACATGCATCGAGCCATCGTCAACATAAAAAACGCTTTGCATTAACACAAACAAAATTTTTGACAACCAGACAAAATTTAGATATCAAAACGGTTTTTGCCAACAAGAGCAAGATCTTGAATTGACAAAATTCAATAATTTCAATGACAAAATCCTCAAAATTGACTCACGGTCATCGAAATTAAAATTAAAACAAATTTCAGCGAAAATAATCGCCATCAAATACAAAAACAATTTTTCTCGACGGAGCAAGATCCTGTCGAAAATCAAATCAAAAAATAAAAAATGACTCTTTGTTCTACACTTAAAAAACAATTTTCAATAAACAAACAAAATTTTAGCTAAAAACAATACCAAACAAAAAATTTTTTTGTTTCCAACTAACAGACAAATTTTATCATTCGACATACAAATTCAATTAAACCAACAAAAAATTTTAACACAATAATAATTTTAGTTTAATTAATATACCGTCGACAAATAAATATAAAATAAAATTATCGAACTTCCTAGTTTGTCACTATTCAAAATAAGTTCATAGCTTTGATCCTTCAAGGTCGCTTAGACAATAAATATAAACACAGACCAAATACTCGAACATACAAAATCACAATTTAAACACTTTAATAATTTCATCATTCCAAAATTTTATTTCAAAATTATTAAAGAAAATTTAATCTGCACACAAAATTCAAAATTATTGGCAAATATTCAAACAAAATCCAACGTGGCCCCACGTTGGGCGCCAAATGAGACGAATAGAATTTTTATATTGAAATTTAAGAATAAAAATATATTAAATTAAGTAAAATAAAAGAGTAAGATAAATCTGATCAAAAATAAATTAAACAAATTCTATTCACATCCAGCGCGACCGGGTTCAGAGTTGCTGGAGCTCTATTTGGCGAGAAGAAAATATTAATAAATACGCGGACGCCAGTTAATTTTTATGAAATTAACAAAACACAGATAAATAAATTAGACACGAGATCACAAGGAGGGTAGCGTTGGGGAACCCTAACAAAATAATATAAAATAAAGATCAAGCGACTTCCAGGAATAAAACAAATTTATTAAATAAATCAAAAGAACATTAACCACTTACGTATTGTTGATCAAATATCGACTCTTGTCGATCTTTCTCTCTCAAATCAAGATTTTACAAGTCACATCGAACCACTCAAACAAAAGTTACAATATCAATTTTGAGATCACACTAAGCAGTTACATACAACAACGGTCGAACAAAGAGTAACGTGCTCTTTTTGAAAATTTGGTAATGCGTCAATTGATCGAATTATTGGCGCTTCAATCGATGTAAGGTCGCAGGGGCGAACTATTGACCTTACAACCCTTACCCTTATTAAAAAGATATTTGATCAATATATGGCTTGAAATAACGTCAGAATGACTTTCCCGTCACATACCAAAATTCTACTACAAAAATTGAATTATTTGAATACAATAATTTTTTGTAAAATTCAATTATTTTTCAAATTTTTAAGTACAATTCTTCAAAAATACAATTATATTTAAAAATTATTTTTCAAATTATTTTCGGGACTTCAAATATCTTCAAAAATTTGTAATTATAATTTTTTAAAAACTTCGATTTTTCAAGATTTATAAATTAAATTTTTCAAATTTACATACTTTTTGCTATCTAAATAAATATTTAAATAGGTACCTACTTATTGTTATTTATTTGTTCACATGAATTAAAATTTTAAAATACTTTCAATATGTAAAACCTATTGAAAAATAATTTCTAAACATTATAATTGCAATTCTTCCAAAATTCAATTAGTTTTTGGAACTTTTAAGTAAAATTAAATAAGTATATAATTAAAATCATATAAATAAAACATTTTTTGCTGTCGTATTGCACATTGTCATCAATAATTATTAGCGAGCAGATTTTATAAAATAAATGAAAATTCAGGCTTCGCACTCAGTAATTAATTTTTAAAAAAGTAGCAAAAGGTAGCTTTAAGACTGCAAAAAGTAGTAGGAAAGTAGCTAGGTATTGGAAAATTAAATTTTATGACTAAAAAACTCGTTTTAGTCGATTTACAAAAATCGCAAAAATTTGATTTTGTATTTCCCTGCGACATTTTCATCATATGCATAAAAAATTCTCTTTTTTTCTTATCCTGGTAATAACTTCAATTCTAAATTTTTATGAAAGAAAATTATTTTCCAAACTTTCAGTTCCAATTATTCAAAAATTCGATTATATTTCAAAATAATTTTTAAAACTAAAAAAATTAATTTTTTAAAAATATTACATCTACTTCAATTAAATTTGACAAAATTTCCAATTAATTGAAAATTTTAATATAAATATTTTTAATTTTTACGAGAATTTAAGTGTATTTTTCTTTTAATATTCAATTATAATTTAAAATTTTAAATGAAATTCATTTATAAATCAATTTTTATTAAAAAGTTTTACAAGAATTCAATTATTTAAATACAAAAATAAATAATTTATTTATAAACAATTGATTATTTTTAAAATTGAATACTTATAAAGAATTTTTTTTTTTAAATTTTGGAATATAATTGATTTGTTTCGAAGAATTTTAATATAACTTATGAAAACAATTATACATTCTCCGAGGAATTAATTCAAAATTTTATTAAAAATAATTGAATTCATATGGAAATTTTATTATTCAATCAATTGAATTTTTCAGAAGAATTTTATTATTATTATTCTTAAATAATTGAAATCTTATGAAAAATTATATTAAAATAGTAGATATTAAAAATATTTTAAATTCAGTGAAGAATTTCATTATTTGTGAAAATAATTGAATTCTTGACGAAGATTTTCCAAAAAATTTTGAAAATAATTGATTTGTTTTGAAAATAATTAAATTTTTCGAGGAATTTATTTTAAATTTTATTTAAAAAATAATCAAAATCCTCTGATGAGTTTTATTATAATAAAAATAATTTAATTCTTCCAACGAATTTTATTGGATTTTTCGAAGTCATTGAATTCCTGTGAAAATTTTTCTTATTTTTAAACATAATTGAATTTTTGGAAAGGATTTTATTAAAATTTTTGAAAATACTTGAATTTTTTTTAATCATTATATAAAAATTGAAAAGAATAATTTAATTATTCCAAATTATCTAATTAAAATTGTATGAAAAATAATTTAATAGGATGAATATTATTATTTATATGGAAATAATTTATTCCCTCTAAACAAATGTTATCAAAATTTTAGAAAATAATTATCTTTCAAAAAATTTTTTTGAAAATATTTTAAATTGATTTTTTTCAAAAATTTTCCTTGAAATTATTGTGTTTCAAATAATTGAATTCTTGTGGAAATTTTATTATTCATGATATTTATTGAATTTTTTCAAAGAATTTTATAAACATTTTTTGATTTGTCTCTAAGAAAAATTTTATTATAATTGTTGAGAATAATTTTTTTCATTTTAACATATTAGCTAATTTGAACTAGTGTAAATTTAAAAAGAAAAAAGTATTTTTTTAATCGTAAAAAAGTAGTAAATAGTAGGTTTTAGTAGAGGGCGAAGCCTGAAATTAATTTTTTAATTACTTTTAATAAATAATGAATAATTATATAATAATGAATATTTACGTGATTGAAGAAGTCCTATTGACGGAATGATCATCATCGTTGTTTTTCTCTAGTATTTCTTTTCTCGAATTAACACCATCTGCTTTTCCTTCTTCTGTGCTAACATTTGTAGATATTATACTTCCTACTGGTTTCGCTTTAGCTTTGTGACTAGTTGGCAGATAATCCTAAGGAAACAACAATAAAAATTACAACAATTAATCAAAGTTAAATAAAAGTATTCAAATAAGGTCGGAAAATAACTTCTTCTTTACAATAGGATCCATGTATTTATATGTGAAATTTCACGATTTCATTCTTTTAAAAAATAAAGTTTAGAATATATGTACATATATGGGATAAATCTATTTAATTTTTTCATAACAAAATTTTTAATGCACAATCGTAAATGCATGCAATTCATAAAAGCTCGAAAACACTCCATTGCATATAAAGCATTAAAAAACCGAACAAAATTAAATAATTTTTTTTTGTTAAAAAAAGGAAAATTAAATTTTTATATTGCAACAAAAGTGTTTTTATATACGTACTTAATAAAATTATTTATAATAAAAAAGAGAAAATTAAATAAAGAATTTTGTTTATTAAATCTCTGTCTATTTAATGAAGTTCAAAAAATGTATTATCTAAATGAGAAATTTTTTTGTTAAACTCTACAATGTATGTTTTTTTAAAGTCTGAATAAAACGAACCGTAGTAAATTCATCAACAACTATAAAAAGGTAAAGTTTAAAATGAAAATGAATTCTATTAGAAATGTATGAAATTTTCATTCTCTGACTCTAATAAGGTTCAAACCATAGGATGTGAGCTATTGCAATTTTATAACAGAAACATAAATTCTCAACTGTTTTTCTAAACAAAAAATTTTGTTTTAAAAATACAATATGTAAAATAAAAAAAAATATTTTACTGAAAGCAATGAATATGAAATATAATAATAAAGAGAAAAATTTGAGGAACATAAAAAAAAGAACTATTTTTGATTAAATTAAATAAAATAAATTAAAGTAATATAACGGTAAAATTACATACGAACGATGATAGTATAAAGTAAACTACACTTAATTTTTTTATAAACAAATATATAGTAAACAAAAAAAAATATTACATGCGAATCCTCTCCAACGGGTCGTTGATTGATGAGGGTGATAGAACCTGCTGGTAAAGATTCCTTTGATTTAGCACCCTTCGTAATATCTCGGAACTCCTCCGTGTAATCCTGCATAATATCAATGAACACACAAATAACATGCATACATTCCTTTAATATCTATTCTAGATTAACTGATTAGTAAAACAAAAAATTTTTAAATATGCAATTAAAATTTAATTAAGACATAAGTGAAATAATGCTGGCAGGCATTTCAGTGAGTAATATGTCACTAAATTTATATTATTTCCAACTGCAGTTCTAATTTTATCCGATTGTTGCAAGTTTATTTACAATTAACATTGAGAAATTAATCAATTTAATCAAGAATAAAATAACAAAAAAGTAAAATACATTATCAAATAAACTATTTTGAAATAAAAAACAAATTCATATTAAGTTCAGAGAAGCAACAATCATAGAACAAAACATCTCAAATCGAAATTTTCAGCCACAGCTGAAATAAATATAAAATTGCAAAAAATCTTTGATTATTGAAATTCAATTATTTAAGCATACGTCAAAAAATATTCCATACTTTTAGATCCTGGTGAAATCTAATTTCTTTCTCAATAAGTATTTTATAGTATAAAATGTAGTTGCAGCTAAATCAAGCTTAAAATTGTTATTTGTTACTCAGTACTAAAAAGAAACGGTCAGACAATTTTGACCAGCGGTGTTTAATAAAGAAAATTATAATTTGCACTATTGAATATATTTCAATACTTGCAGATAAGAAAAAAAAATGAAAAACTAACTTTTCATAAGTACTCACCTCGAATTGTGGCCAATTCATAGCCATATTTACTCCATGATTATTAGACCACCACTTCAAGTCCTTTTCATGATCCGCGTTATTGATTGTGTGATAAAATTCTTCATATATTTGCGGAAGTCTGAAAAAAGCATTTTTTTTTTAATTTTAAAGTGAATTTAGACAACAGAAATTTAGACAGAATTTAGACTTTTCAAAAAAAATTAATTAACATTTAAATAATTAAAATATTAGTAATTAATAGTATTTTATAGAAAAACAAACATTAATTTTCAAAAAAAGAAATTGACAATCAACTTTATTTGTTCATACAATTTACATTAGATGCCAATTTTTTGTCATATCGCTTCTTAAAAATCTTTGAAAAATAATACGGACCATTTCAGGACCAATTACTGACAAAAATATAACCTGTCCGACGATCTGGCATTAGTGTCAGATACACCTGAGGGATTAAGGGACTTAATAAAAACTACAAACAAGTATATAATAAAAAACAAAATGGAAATTAATGTTGCTAAATCGAAAGTTATGATATTTAGAAAAGGGGGGAGAATGAAAAACGAAAATTTTGAAGTTAATAACGAATTGCTAGGAATTGTTGACAGTTATAAATTCCTGGGATTTTGGTTTTCGACGGGAGGAACATACAAGAAACATTTAAGGAAAATAGTTGGAAAAGCTCAAAGAGCAACAAATGCAGCTTGGGGAGTTATGAAGCGAGCAGGACTGAACAAAATGAAGAAAAGATTGTATTTAATGGATACACTAGTGAAAGCTGGAGGTTTGTACGGGGTAGAAATTTGGGGCTGGGCAAGAAGTGAAGATGTGGAAAGAATGCAGGGAAAGTTTGTCAAAATGGCAATGGGTTTAGCTAGAACGACACCAGACTACATATGGAGAATGGAATCGGGAAGGCACAGTTTGGAAACAGAAACAGTTATGAGAGCTGGAAAATATCTTTTAGAAATCTTGAGAATGGACAGTCACAGATGGCCAAAAATTTGCCTCAGAGAAGAAATAAGGGGTTTGATAAATAACAATCTTACGAATTGGGGAAAAATGCTTAAAAAGGCCTTTAGCGACGTAGGAGATGGAGAAACTATTTCGATGATTTGGTACGAGGAAGAATCGGAAATAATTAGCAATAACTTAACAACACTGGTCAAGAAGAAAATTGATCGAGAACTGCAAGGGGATTGGGGAAGAATTGATAAATCCAGCTATTGTAAGTACTACAAAGAAATAAAGAAGCAAATAGGGCGAGAAGAATACTGGGACAAGGAAAATATAGATGAAGGGATGAAAGAAGAATGGGCGAGATTAAGATGTGGAAATTTGGGAAAAGCGGGCAAAAAGGGATATAAAGATGAGAAGTGCAGAATGTGCAAAAAAGAACTTGAAGATTTGGGGCATATTTTCGTATGTGGTGAAGTAAATGGAATTATAAGCAACAATTTGATCCTGGGAGTGAAGGAGTGGATTGGAGAACGAGAAGGACAAAATCTGGACAACTTTTTACTCGACAGTTTGACTAAATTACCGAATCCAATCGTATGTGCTTACGCGAAGGAGTTTGAAAGGAAGATATATGAAAGACAGTGGTGCTAAAGTGTTAATAGTTTATTTAATCTAATTTCATTTTATTTAACAATTACTGCTTGTTTAACTTTTTTGTTTCTTTCGATTGCTTACACAACTTTCTGTGTATTAGAATTAAGGGCTTTATTACTAAACTTTTTATATCAAGAACTATATTGGATATGATGTTTTGTTTGAATGTTCAAATGGATAATTTTAATATAGGGAAATTCAACATGACAATTATAAATTTTGAAAGGGGTGTGTGATATATTGTAAAACTTGAAAAAAGTGTACAATGAAGAATAAATCTAATCTAATCTAATCTATAACCTGTCCGAGTCAAATAAGAGACCATTTTACTTAAAACTGTAAATTAAATTTTTCCATAACTATAAAACATGAAGAAATCGATCAATCCGAGTCGAAGACTCGGAGTGATCGATTTCTTCATGTTTTATAATAATTAAAGATGTCCCAGTGATAAAATCATTATTTTTATATAATAAGAACTAGCAAATGTTACGCGCAAAATGTAAAAAAATTAAATTCAAAATGTAAAAAATGTAAAAAAATGGAATGTTATTTGCAAATTTAAATTTTTGAATAATTTTAATACAATTCTTTAGAAAAATTTAGTTATTTTTATAAATAATAAAAATTTTTCAAAAAATTCAATTATTATCAATAAAATTGAATTCTTTAAAGGATTTCAATTATTTACAAAAAATTTTAATAAAATTTTACGCAAGAATTTAATTACCTTCATAAAAAATAAAATTCTTTATAAGTTTTCAATGATTTTCATTAATAATAAATTTCTTTGGAGGATTTCAATTTTTCTTTAAATTTTGAAACATATTCTTGTCAAGAATTCAAGTTTTTCATAACTAACTGAATTCATTAAAGAATTTCAATTATTTTCAAAAATTTTAATAAAATTCTTCGCAAGAATTCAATTTTGATTATAAAAAGTAAAATTCTTTTGAAGATTTCAATTATTTTCTTAAATAATAAAATTCTTTGGAGAATTTCAATTATTTTCAAAAATTTTAATAAAATTCTTCGCAAGAATTCAATTTTGATTATAAAAAGTAAAATTCTTTTGAAGATTTCAAATATTTTCTTAAATAATAAAATTCTTTGGAGAATTTCAATTATTTTCAAAAATTTTAATAAAATTCTTCGTAAGAATTCAATTGTACTTCGCTGCCTCGTCCTCAAGATCAAAATTATGTAGTTGCGTAAGTAACTGTTTGTTCCGCCACAGTATTTCAAATTCTAAAGTTTTTAGCGCCACTTATATGTGTCGCTTCCTACTCTTCCGCTTCCTGTCATTACGTTTTTTCTGTGTGTTCCTTGCCACATCGTGGACAGAGTAAAAATAGTTAAAAATGGGTAAAAAAGTGCATTCTACTGAAAAACTTCTTAAAAAAATTAAAAAACTGAAAAAAGAAGCAAAGAAGAGAAAAAGGAGAAACAAGAAAAGAGATTATTCGTCAGAATCGAGCAGTTCTAGCACGGCAACGTCAAGAAGCAGCAGAGAAAGGACGCTACAACGATCCCGATCGCGTAGTCCTATCCGAGACCCTCGGTCTAGAGGTAGGTCACGCACAATACGAGGAAAAAGAAGGAGCTCGAGCAACGAGAGATTCCGAAGAAACTCACTCGACAACTCGAACTCCTCAGCCAAAACTCTCAGAGGTACGTCCCGCAGACATGATAGTTCAGTAGAAGAACACAGCCATAGCGGAAGGCGTAGCCCAAGAGATTCAACAAGCAGGGAACCTTCCCCGCGAACCGATGAGGAAATCAACGACAGTGAAAGAAAGAAAGCGACATCACCTCCTAATTCCCAGGTCGTAAAAAAGAAAAATATGCATCAAAAGGATGGCGAAATTAATCCTTTGGAAAATAGCGAGGCGGACCCACAGTCGGTAAAGAAGAATGCCAGTACTGAAGCTTCTGATCTAGCCTGTCTAGGTGGCGATCCCTTCGCAGCTGTCAAAACAAGTGCACCAATAAACAAAACATTGGCAGAAGTATGGCAAAAAATTATGCAGATAGGACTGACGAAAGAAGCTCGCAAAGACTTAGCTGAAAAGCACCCTCCAGCCGAAAACTGCTCTATGATGGAAGCCCCTATCTTGAATCCGGAATTAAAAAATATCATCGGATCGACAGGAGTAAAGAAAGATCAATTCCAAGTAGCTTCGCAAAACCAGTTGGGTGCAGCAATAAGTGCTTTGGGATCAGCGATAACCGAACTATTGTCTATTCAACAGCAGAAAAATCAGTCGATCTCAAATGATCAGCTGACTACGACTATATCTCTTCTAAGCGACTCCGGAAAACTTTTAACGGACCTCCATCATGAGATATCCCTCACCAGGAGAAATTTTATTACTTCGGGAAGAGATCCTAAATTAAAAATAGTTGCAGAAAACGCTCCAGTTGACAGGTTCTTGTTTGGTATAAATTTTGCGGAACAATTCAAAGCCGCAAGGGAAGTTGAGAAAGTAAGTAAGGAACTTTCTCAAACGACAACGAAGCAAATTGGGAAGAAGCCATTCCATCACCAATCTCGCTCACGACAATCTACATCAAGACCCAACGATTTAAACTGGAAGGGCCCTCCGAAGAGGAGTTACACGAACCCCAGGAGGGGAGGGCTACAACCATATCGGACAATGCGCAACCAACAACAGAGGAATTAAAGGTAAGCCAAATAGGTGGACGCCTATTTAATTATTACGATGCCTGGAAAAATTTAAAGCCAGACCAATTTATATTAAATTGCATTAAAGGGTATAAGCTTCCTTTTCTGAAAAACCCCATTCAAACGAAGCTTCCCATCAATCCAGAGTATTCGTCAGAACTTTTTCTGAAAACAAAAAATGCCATTGATAAATTAGAAAATAAAGGCGCAGTGGCCAGCTGTAAACCATGCAAAGGGCAATTTCTTTCGCCTTTCTTTTTAAGAGAAAAGCAAAATGGTGATGACAGGTTTATACTTAACCTTAAAGGTCTTAACTCATTTATAAACCCTCCCCACTTCAAAATGGAAGATATAAAAACTGCCCTAAAATTAATTAGACCCGGTTGTTACCTTGCATCTATTGATTTAAAAGACGGTTATTTACATATCCCAATTCACAAAAACGACAGAAAATACCTCAGATTCTTTTTTAACGATAAATATTATGAATTTACAGCGTTGCCATTTGGACTCTGCACTGCACCTTATATGTTCACAAAAATATTAAAGCCAGTCATGCAAAATCTTAGAGAAAAAGGAATAGTATTAGTAGTGTATCTAGACGATATTTTAATAATTGCTAGGTCGGAATATGAATGTAAAAACAATGTAAATATCACAAAGAGATTGCTAGAGAAACTAGGTTTTGTAATCAATACAGAAAAAAGTGCCTTAATGCCCTCACAAAAATGTAAATTTTTAGGTTTTTTATTAAACAGCGTATCATTTTCAGTGGAACTTCCACAAGAAAAGAGGTCGTCTATAGAAGCCCTAGCAAAACA